TCTATTCTTTATACAGCTTTAGCATTGCTTGGAGCACACCCCATGTTCTTGACAGACAATGACATTCACCTTGGAGTCAATGAGACTGTGTATGACACAGCAAAGTAAGATTATTAAACAAATCTCTAAATTATATCCGCATTTCATATGATGCAGAAGTTGAATTGGAAGTAGGCGGCTGTTCTGAAAGGCAAAATTGATGCTGGATTTCACGCTGCTAGCTTCTTATGAAAATCCCAATAACTCTCAGAAATGCCATTTCCAGCGTTTTGAGGCGTTATCCAAGACATATTTACCGCAGACATGGTCAGCAATATTATCAATAAAATCTCAAAGAATTCATAAGGAGGCTCTTCGCTTCTGAAAATTCAAAATGTCGAAAATATTATTGGGGGGGCTCTAGCCCCCCAGCCCCCCCTGCTCCGCGGTCCCTGTGATGACCTTTTGTGTGGGCATTATACGCAGTTCAACAAATCAGAATAGAGTATTTCAATGGATCAAAATCACTGCCAGTCAAACACACAGATCATCCAATCACGGCACAGTTCATCAGTAATTATTTTGTACAGCATTGGTGTGGGCTAAACAGAGACATCAGCCAGTCAAGGGTTTGATACTCATTAATGTATTAGTATAGCCCAAGTTAAAGGGAATTTTTAAAGAATTTTATCACTGTTTTTCCATGTTGTATCACACTTTATTAAATTTAGTTTTGAAACCTTCTTATTTTTAAGGGTTCTTGGAGGATTTTGTGATATCATTCTAGCAAGAGTTCGCTCTCAAAAGGACTTGGATATCCTTGCTGAGGCTTCCCCAGTCCCTGTTATAAGGTAATGGGACAATACTCCATTTTGAATCCAAGGAAAAAACGCTGCTTTATTTGACAACAAATTCTCTTGAACAAAGACCTAACTGAAAAATGAGAAAATGTCGTTATTACAATAGCCTTAAAAATTTGCATTTTCCCTGAGTTGAGACTAACCAGTTTTCCCAGAAGGCCTAAAGGTTTAAACTTTCAAGGAATGCAGGTGGGAAAATGTAAATTGCTAGACGTGCTATAATTGTACTTTTTGTTATAACATTTCAATCAATCAATCAATAATTGTTTAATTAAACCCATTGCAGCAAAAGGCTGAATTGCGGCAAAAGGCTGAATTGCTGAATTTTCTTAGGTCTATGTGTAATGGAATCTGCTGTCAAATATAACAGTGGTTATTCACTTTGAATTAAAAAACCGAGTATTGTTCAATCTAGTGGATCCAGAACTTGTCTCAATGATCAATGAGTGTAGGAAAGGAAAGTTGCACACAACTCAGAAATTATCACAAAAGAACAGTGAAATACAGATCAATTGATCAGTTTATTCATTGCTTGTGTTACTACAGTGGTCTTTCAGATCTCTTTCATCCGCTTCAAGCWCTTGCTGACCTACAAACTCTTCAGGAACATTTTGGGTCTGTGTATGGCAGTACAGTAGCATGGGTTGGGGACGGTAACAATATTCTGCATTCAATGATGATGGCATTTCCTAAAATAGGAATGAATTTRCGCATTGCAACACCAAAGGTACAATGATTCAGATAAAAAAGTAACAAATTAAGCAAATATTAATTATGGATTGATGGCAGTCATATACGTACTGTATCCTCCCGATATTCCCACTGATATTTTATAATATTTAATTTATAGAACTATGAACCAAATGAAACTGTTGCCAAACAAGCAGCAGAGTTTGCAGCTGAGGTAATTACCTTCATATGAATGCTTTAACAAGTAATACCAGTGAGGGTTCTTCCGGCCCTAAACTTAAAGGGCTACTTGCACGAAAATTGTGAAACATTACAAAAGACTTGGAAATCCAATAGACCTATCCATATGGGTCTAATAATCATGAAGCAACAGATTTCAAGAAGATATTGATACAAATCCATAACGATTTGGGCAAAAAATGTTGGAGTAGATGACGTCATTTACTCCATCCTTTTGTTCTTCCATCTTTTGAATCAAAATTTCTCTGATGTGGGATAATTAAAAAAAAA